TGTGTGTGGCCAGCTCAGCCCACCAGGGGGCGGGGCTGGCTGGCATGTGGTGCTGGGGGATCGAACCATGGTCCCTGTGCTTTGCTAAGCTTGTTTCAAGTAGGTGCTTTAGACCACTGAGCCATCTCTCCAGCCCCCAGTGTAAACTTAAAGTTGTAAAAAGTATCAAATCAGTTATTTTCCAGGTTTTTGACCACTGGTTTGTTTGTTTTGGCGGAACCGGGGACTGAACTCAGGACCTTGCACTTGCCAGGCAAGTGCTTATTCTACTGAGCCATCTCCCCGGCCCCCTGACCACTAGTTAATGGATGAAGAAACAGTAGTCCTACTGGGATTCAGTTCACTTGTTTTACTGCTTCCCAAGGGAAAACCAAAACAAACCTTGGAGACTTTAGTTTATTTCAGAAAGGTCAATTTAGAGTTTGAAATTGTTAAACTAGATGTGATACTTTTGACTATTATCCCCACTACTCAGGAGGTTGAGGCCCCAATACAGGTAACTGCTAGGCCTAGGCCCTGCCTCAAAAATAAAGGGGGGTGGGGGCGTGGGGAGATGGCTCAGAGGAATAAGCACTTCCCTGGCAAGCACAAGGACCTGAGTTCAATCCCCGGTTCCACCAAAAAAATAAAATAAAATAAAATAAATAAATAAAAATAAAGAGGGCTGAAGACTCTTGCCCAACATGCACAAGGGCCTTGATTTGATCCCCAGTGCTATTTAAGAACAAGTGAAGGTGGTCAGCAATAAGTATCACAAAGGTGTGAATTTAGTCCTAAGTAGTTAAAAAGAAACTTCAATTTCTTTTCTTTTTTTTGTGGTACCGGGGATTGAACTCAGGCCCTTCTGCTTGCCAGGGAAGCGCTTATTCCACTGAGCCATCTCCCCAACCCCACACTTAAAACTTGTGGAAGGAATTAATGTCACTAAGAAAATGTTTCTCAGTGGTCCCATCTGGAACAGTCCATAGTGGGTACCAGTTCTTAGGAGGAATTTGTTCATATCATGCAGTATTTTATTTAGCCAGAAATGTGGTTTTACATTAGTCCTCCTACCCCACAATTCTATGCTATTCTTTTTAGGTTACAAAAGCAGGCTGGTCTCTGGAAGATGTCGATGCATTTGAAATCAATGAAGCCTATGCAGCCATCTCTGTTGCAATAGCTAAAGAACTTGGATTAAACACAGACAAGGTAAAGATTAGGAAGTATTCCTTATAGTGCCGGTTCACTCCCAGTGTAAACTTTTTTTTTTTTTAATTATTTATTTTTATTTATTACATTTATTTAGTGTGTGTGTGTGTGGCCAGCTCAGCCCACCAGGGGGCGGGGCTGGCTGGCATGTGGTGCTGGGGGATCGAAC